TTCAATCTCTTTTCCTTCTATAATATCTTCCTGATCTTCATACAATCTCTTTTCTTTCTCCTTTCCTCCTTCTTGTTCTAAGTGTTCCCTCTGAGTTTCCACTGTTTCCCCCCATTTAGCATTTTATGTGCATTTTTAACATATCAAGTATTTCATTGTACATCCAAACTTCCATATTATCTGTTTAATTAGTTTAACAATTTTTTAAGCTTTCTATTATATCACAAGGATTAGAGTTCTTTTTTCCCTTTTCTTATTTCCAATTTCTAAGTCCACTTCCACTTTTTATTTGCTTTTTATCTTCCACCAAAACAGTAAGTCCAGTCCAAAACACTGTTGCAAAAACAAATCCTCTTTGTTGATTCTCACAGCTTCAAAGTATCTTTTTTTTGTTACATTCAAGGTCAAATAGTGGTTTCTCCTGACAAATTGTTATTTCTTGTAGTATCTTCTTTTCACCACTAGATGGCTCCCTCTCCACTTAAAGCAATGTGTTGTAGCTGTCAAAAGCTGTCAAAGTCTATTCCAAAAAATATGAAAAGGTAGCAAAAGAAAGGAAGGAAAATTCCCTCCGAGTGCTTTTATTGTTTTTAATGTTCCCAGGTCCAAATTTTGGGGATAAAAGTCTTCTAGGGCTTTCCGTTTTTGTCACTGCACCTTCCCCCCATCCCTGTTTAAATCCCCTGTCTGTCAAATAGCCACTAAATTTCGCTCCTGGTCACTTTTTAATCCAAATGTAAAGTTTCTTTACCTTGGATTGATCACTCTTTCACCTATGTTCTGCTGTGTTTTGTCCAAACCGGTCCCTTAGATTTTGAAGCCATGATGTTCTTCTTCTGCTTGGGCCTCATTTGCCTTCAATCTCTCCCTGGAGGATTAAGTGAAGGCTGCCGTATTTTTCTGGATGTTGCATCACATATCTGAAATATTGTAACTTTTACTTTTTAATTGTTTTAATGATTTCCCTTGACTTTCCCAGGCAGCTTATCACCTCCTCATTTCTGATTTTAGACTAAGCCCAGGGCTTGGAGAATACCTGAGAGCCAACACCTTCAGGATAGTTGGGGTGGGGAATCCATCCTCAAAGTCTTCCCAAGGCAGCCATTGGGGAGGGGGTGTCTGGAGCTTCTCTGGGGCTCAGCCGCTCCTCTTGAGGACCCTCTGATCTGGTTGCTCTACAAGAGAAAATCAGTCAAAGCTCACTCCTCTGGCCCTCCAGCTCCAAGGAAGGAGAATGAGACAGGAAAGTGGGGCACCCTGGGAAAATGGGGGATTTCNAGGACCGATGCCATGTAGGGCTTTATAGTTTAGTCAACTCTTGAGTCCTTGCTGACTTCCTGGCCTGCCTGCTCTGCTGTCTTACTGCTGCCTCCTCCTGTGGCTGTCTAAAGGTAAGTAAGCCTACAGCTGCGACTTCACAGGGCATGGATGGT